TCCTATTTATAGTGAATGAAATTTTCATAGAAATTGAATATATTTAGTACTCCCTTGAACAATCTATCCAATGGCAAGAATTTTCCAGAATAAATATGTCATCTTTTACCCAATAATAGTCCACCTTCCCTCCACTTTTATTTACGAATAGCGAAGGTTTATTATGTAATTGCCTTTCACATTTAATTGAGAATAATACGGAAGAGAAGATTTTTTGCAAATACGCTGTAGAAAAACGTGGAAAAGATCCCTCTCTCTCCGAGTAAATTCATCATTAAACTTTACTAATCTTGACTTTGAGTATGATGGAATAAAAATACCTCAAGTACTTCAAATTTAAAAATCAAGGGGTTGATCGGCCGATCCTTCAAAGTCATTAACACCCTCTGTATCGGAATCTTCATCGTCATTATTAATTTCAACATTTCCTACATTTACGGTGTTCGTCTTTAGGCTATCATTGGCAAGTTTGCTCTCAATTCCATCTGGAACATTATGAACATAATAAATCAACAAATAATTTTGCCATGAATGATCATATTATCTTTTTTTTCTTTTAAATATTTACCACAATTGGGTTTAGATCCACGAGTACGTGTCCCTGCAAATTCTACACCATGAGGATCAACACACCAACAGAGTCCAAGACCACTATGACATTGAACACTTCGGAAGTAGCCTCGTGAGTCACATAAGGGTGCGACATCGAGTGATGTACGTCGACGAAGTGCAGCACAAGGTCTTTCAGCTTTGGCAAAACATTCACACCATTCTGTACCGCTCATCAACATATCTCTGAAATTTATAAATATTCTCTACTTTCCGCAATCCATATATATATTAGTAATTAATGTCATAATGCCGAAAAATTATTTCCCGAACGAATGTAATTGACCCACCCATTGGTATTGCAGATGTCAAGGAAAGGCTTGAGGCAAGGCTCATTCTGATCGTGCTCGAGGCCATAAAGTTCAGAGAGGGAAATTCTACGATCACCGTCAGTATCGAAATGCCCAAACATCCACCGCACTTCGATTTGACATCCAGGAGGAAAGTGACCTGTTCAGACCAATCCCCCATATCAATAAACAACCATCATAAGTTGCAGATATTTTTTTATAAAAAAAAAATTTAGCATTTTTGATTATATATTACGAATACAATGAGCATCACCATTCCCACATTTTGGTGAAAAAAAAAAAACCTGTCTGCATTTACTTGCCTTTTGATTTGACGTGTTGACGACGAAATTTCGCATCAGCCATTACTACTGAAAACCAATCCAACAAACGATTTGCCATTTCTGATTTGGATGATGGCGAGCAGTCAGTAGTCCTGGGTGCATTCAACTTAGATTCAGCTACATTAAAAGTTGACTTAATTGTAACTGTACTTTTAGTTAGTGCATTGCCCATAGAGCTTTTTATGTCCTCTTCGTACTTTTTAATCCCGAGACCCTACACAAACATATCATCATCA